GTCCGCCTTGCCGCCCGTGGACGCGGTGGAGCCAGGCGTCGGGGAGGACGCGATGCCCAGCTCCAGGCCCGCGCCCGAGTCCGAGCTCTCCCCGGCCAGCAGCGCCTCCGTGTTCTCCGCGTTGTTAGTCTGCTGTACCATGGCCCCGGCTCGCCGGGCGCCCACGCGCGCTCACACGCTCGCGGCGCGGTCGCCGGGCCCTGCGGGCTCCCCGGGGCGGAGACCAGGGTCCCCCGAGCGGCGCACGGGCCAGGGGCGGCCGCCTCCTGCCGCCGACCTAGAGTCCCCGCGGCCCTCCGTCCTCCCTCACCGCTGCAGTGCTCCCTGCGGGCGCCGAGGCTTGAGCCGGCCACAGCTAGGAGTTTCTCCAAACGTTGATGGCCCGAGTGTCTTCCAAATGCAAGTTTCTCGCCGCCTCCGGGGCAAGTCTTCCCTCCCCCCCCTTCCCTGAAGCAGTCGATTGCAGTTCACGAGAGCTCGCGGTAGCTCAGGAAAGCGACATCGTCTCTAGCGCCTAAGTCCCTTTCCTGCAGTGCAAAGCCAAAGCGACTCTGGCTCCGGGACTCTCTGTGGGCGGAATCGGCGCTGAGGAGTTGGTGCAATTATTTTGTTGCAAGGTAGGAAGCCAAGAAGCTTGCATGCAACAGACCGGCATGAATAAATGTATGTTTCTCCCTCCCTCCTGCAAGAAGGGGAGCTGGTTACCGGCAGAGTTCTCCCACTGCAGACTCTCTAAGAAAGAGCGTGCAAGAACTGGAGACCGGGAGGGAGACGGCCCTCTTCCCCTCACTCTGTTTCTCTGGCTGCAGCTTAGAGCAGACCCCAATTCCGCCTCGCGCTTCTTTATCCTTTCGCAGACAGCCAATCAGCCGCTGTAACTAACGCTTCCTCGTGCCAAGCCCCTCCCCTGTCCTTCCCATTGGCTTGGAACCCGATGCAATAATAATCTCCGCGTGCAATGAGAAGCTCCAAATCTGACCTCATTCCAATTTACAGAGCAAACTTTTTAAAAGGGCTAGAAGTACAGCTGAGATTTCTGCTGCCTCTTTTTTTCCCCTTTTGCTGGGCGCGCGCGCGCGTGTGCCTGTGCCTGTGCCTCTGTGTGTGTGTGTGCGCGCGCGCGCACGCACGCGCGTGTGTGTGAAGAGGATGTTAATGCATGAAGTTATTAAGGGGAGAGACGGAAATGTATTCTAGCCATTATGTTAGATAACAAGGGGCTTGGAGGGGGGGTAAGGGTGAAATACTGTAAATGGAAGCTTTCTGCTTAAAAGCCGAGTGATTATTTTTATTAGTTCTTTTCAGCGCAGGAATAAAGAATCAGCCTTTGGTGCAAAATCTCTTTTCTCAGCTCCTTCTTAAAGCTAGAGATGTACATGGGGGGAGCCACAACAATAAATCAATGGATATTGAAAACCATTAAGAAAGTGGTACCTAGACACCTGTCATCACAATTATTTTAACAACTCTAGGTACAGCACAGACGTTGGTGTATTGTGTAAATCCCTTCAGGATGCTATCTGTGCTGTTTGTGAAAGGCAGGGAATTTTTTTTCTTTCAGTAATTGCTTACTCTTTTAGCCAAACAGAGGTTAACTAGTTATTTAATGATTTCAGCTCCCCTATAAATCCTGGGTAGCCCAAACAAGGAGATTTTCCTTGAAACGCTAAGGCAGTGGTCCATAATTACCTCAATAAGAGACTTTGTGTGGTTTTGTGTAGGGCGATCATGGTGAATACAGGATGGGAATTGACTTTACTTTCTAAATATTTGTTTTTCACAATTTCCAAAGGATAGATGGGTTCATTATCTGCTCTCCTTCCCTTCAGAGCGTTCCGTCTTGGTTCTTTCTTACCCATTTTCTCCCGTGTGTGTGTGTGTGTGTGTGTGTGTGTGTGTGTGTGTGTGTGTGTGTGTGTGTTACTTGAAGCAAATGGTCCTGAAAGACCAAGAAAAAGAGAAAGGGGTCACAAAGGCCATTGGGGCTTCTAAACCCATCTCAAGCCCCTCAGCTGGTCTTTTTTTCTGGGTCTCAGTTGTTCTCCTCTGTGCTTTGGGAACCCCATGAGCTTCTTTATAGAAGGCTGTTGTTGGGGCTCAGTGAGTGTGTGATTATAAACCACTGATGTGTGTCCTGAGCCCTCTGTGAATTCTAACACTCTTTCCTTGGTAATGCAAATGCCACTTCTTGTAAACGCAGCATGTTGTTCAAGAGACTAAGATGGAATATGGTCCCTGATGGTGGAAAAGTAATCAAAAACCCCATTTGGTGGTCCAGGTCTGTTATCTTAGCACCTGGGAGATGGCATCAGGAAGACCAGGAGTTCAAGGTCATTCTCTTCCACTACTTAAGAATTCCAGGACAGCCTGGGCTACATGAGACCCTGTCTCAGAAATCTAAACATGCACACACACATGGCAGGGAGAAGGTGCCTGGGTACTTAGAATATAGAATAACTTGGCCATACAAATCACTCTTTTCCCAAGATCTGAAAATTTGAATTCTAGTAAAAACTGACCTTTCTTAATATGATAAACTGATTTTTATCAGGCCAGTGGAAGACAGAGGAGTCCAAATTAAAGTGAGCTTTGGATTCATAGCAGGTGGTCTATTTCCACTTAGCTTGTCAGACTTTCAAAGTATCCAGGCTGGGAAGAGGCCTAGGGTGTCAGAATTAGACAGTTACTGGAAAGAATACCCTATGGAGACAGCTGATCAGGACTCTAAGATCAACCACAAGCAAGAATGTTTTTGTGGGTAAAAGCAAATAATTGTTTGACCATTTGCTACCCATCATAGCCCTTCTTATTCCCAGAGAATGAAATCCTAAAATAGCATGCACCTTCCCCTACCCCAAAAAACCTTCCACAAAGAAAGGTACTTTGCATAACAAAAGCGAGGCATATATGTTTTTTTCTGGTACGCACAGATACATGTCCTTAAAATACTATCAACCTGACATCTGAATTATTCTAAGAGGTCTCTTGTCTATGAAATCAACTTTTTTATTATGATAAAGCAGAATAAATTTATTTCCTGTAGAATCTGTACTAAATAATGTTTGATAATTTGGCAAAGATGAGTGTTGATACAATTGATGGTATTTCCAATGGTGTAAATCAGCTATCATAATTACACTCATGCCTAACAGAGATTTTATTTAAAAAAAAAAAAATCAAAAAAGAAGTTCCTGGCTTGATTTTTTGTTAGATGTATTTAAAAAAATAAAATAAATAAAAAAAAAACTCAACAGACTTTAAGTTGTACCATTATAGTATATGCCACCAAAGGAGAAAAGACCTTTAAGAAAAAAAATCACATTTTAATTAATTAATTTTTGTATTTGAGTGCACTGCCTGCCACTGGGCATATATGTAGGCCAGAAGACAGTCTGCTAGAGTTGGTGCTCTCCTCCCACTTATCTGGGTCCTGGAATTGACCTCAGGTTGACAGGGTTGTACCAGCTGAGACAATTCACCCTCCGGAAAAAGGCTTCCCACCCCCCACCCCCCCACTGCCCTGTTTCTACGTTTCTCTTAGAACTGGTGAAATACGGGTTGGTCTCTTCCATTGATTTTTATTACACAGTTATGGAATATAAGTCTGTAGAATATATACTGAGTGCTTGGACTTACTGAAGTGGGACTGTTTTAATTCTTAGAGTACTTAGAATGTAACAAAACTTGACAAATAGCTTTTAATTAAAGGCATCTTTTCAAGAGGAAAGTACACATGCATCAGAATGTATTGGGCTTAATACCAAATAATGGGAGAAAGATTTCTGTGTCTCATTACCTAACTTCATAAGCTCTGCGATCAGTTCTCCATTACTGAATCCCTCCGTTCCCCCAAATACCAGCTATTCAGTGGCCCCCAGTGAGTCAGTGCTCAGTGTTCCCTCTGCTCTGCTTGTAGCTGTGCGAACAGAAGGCCAAGATCGTTGTGCGAACAAGTCCTGCCTTAGCATAATCAACTAATGGTCTTTATTGGAAACGATATTAGACCTTTCACATTTTGAATTAAGGCAGATATTTTATTCCATTAAATGCAATCCATTTGACACGAAAGTGTACTATCTGCTAACGCATTTCTCTTGCCCCTACACACCTGCACAACATAAAACCCACATCCACCAAATGCTATGGGGTATGGATGGAAAGATTTACCTCCACTGCTTAATGTGTTCCTATAGCACAGAGAGGGGGGGAAACCTGGATGGAAATTGGTTTCACAAATCTGGCTTGGCATTATTTTCCAAGATTTCTGCTTTGCTTTGGCTGTAGAAACTGTGATTGTACAAGCTGGTCTGGCTTGAGCGTTCAGTTCAAATAAACAGAGGTGGGGAAGCATTGTTAATTTTGTTGACTGGAAAGTGCTCTGGAAAACTGAATGCCATCAGCCTCGTTTTCAGTTTCACACCAAAAGAACTCTTCACTCAGGCTGAGTTTGCTCCCCACCGCCTCCATGCACTCCATCCTTGGGGCTGAGGAAGTTGTATTGAAACTGGATTAGGAGAAGACTATTGAAACATACTAATTCTTGAACTTTTGGTTGTGAGCCTTAGCCTTTAACATCCGAGCTATCTCTCCAGCCCAATATATTTAATTCTTATTCGATGAAATATTAAGCAAGATAAATGAAACCTGTCATTTATTTTCACTGTCAGAATACACAGAGATAAGAAACATTTATTTCTAATAATTTCACCACTTTCTCATCCCTCATAACCAGCAGGCTCAAGTCAGCTCTTCATACCCATGCCAGTCAGTGTCAACACCTTTTTCCTTTACTCTGGAGAACACGCAGAAAACGAGTGTTTGCACGGGCCACATAGATACAGCGCATTAACTGGGGCTTCTGCTCCGTTTCCCTAAACAGGCCTGGCACACCCACCTAGGTCTGTGGCGCTGCTGAGTGCAGTCAACGCCTCCCGATCCGGGAGAAGCAGCCGCCAGGTGGCAGCGCTGAGCCTGCCTGAGCCTGCAGCAACGTGGGAAAACGTGGGGAGATCCAACAGTCTCTTCCTGGTCTCCCCAACCAGTTAACCCCCAACGCTTCACCTTCTCTAGGAAGTGGTTCAAGGGACCAGTGGGAAACAGGGTGTGTTGGTGAATTCTGGGCATCCCCCCCGCCCCCCGTATGTCAAAGTTTAGGGTAACCAACCTCTGCCCTCTGTTTGCTTGTCGGAAACCCCCAAGGGCTGGGGAAGCCGAGATTCCCGGCTTCGGATCTGATAACCTCACTCGGGAGGTCACGGGTGCCCGCGCCCTGGTCATCTCCCTCGGGCGGGAAGGAGCAAGAATGCCGTTTCTCCGCCAGCTGCGCGCTCCGCTTCCGAGGCGGCAGCGACACACGGCGCATGACCAAAGGATTCCCAAAGGCCATCCTCGGTCCCGAAAAGAAATGGTTTCCGTGGCCCGGCACGCCTCGCCGAGCGAGCGCAGCGACAGGGGTCCTGCCGGAGCTCGCCTGGGACTCCCCGTGCACCGGCCGAACCTCGCCTTTCCGTGACTCTTACAGAGAGGAGCTAAATTGCAATCGACTCGGGCCGCGCTTTTCGGAGGAAAGCCTTTCCTACTGTAAACGTGGCTCGGGCGATGCTCGCCGCGGCTCTTCCGAGAGGGTCACGGCCAGGCAGGCGCTGGCGACGCCCCTCCAGCCTGCTCCGGCTCCTGGGCCTCCTTTGAAGTTGCAGCTCCAGCAGCCACTTCGGAAGGGGGTGGGGTGGGTGGGATCCTGCCCAGCCCCTCCCCCGTCGCGCCCCTCCCCTGCCGCCAGCTTGGACCTGACCGCTGGGGCCCAGTTCCGCCACTGACCGGAACCGACAGCCATTTGGTCCCTTGGAGCACTCGGGTGCCTAACAGCCCCTCACCCTCTGTGACCCTCTCCTGAACTAAACAGTACGCACTCAGTGTTCGGGACTCATGCTTCAGCTCCCACGACCGGTCCGGTGGGAGGGGCAGTGCACCCACAGCGGCCCAGAGCTCTTTCCTAGAGAAGGAACGAACCGGACACTTTTGCTCCCCATCCACAAGTCCTAGCTCGATCGGGAAGGTGGAGGTGTCTCTGTCAGTGAGTCCACAGGGGACCTTGAAGGCACCCCAGAATGCCAGGAGCCCTTCCCGAGGGGGCGTGCCCTATGCTCGGGGGCCACCGAGGAAGAGGGATAACTGAAAGGCTGAGTCCGGGAGCTTCGTTCCTCCGGAGCTGAGTCTGTTTTCTTCCTGCAGCCCCCGAAAACAGGACCCGGAGTCCTGCTAGGGCATCCCCTCCCAACCCTGGCGTGCCTCCCCCGTATTCCTCATCCTCCAGCCCACAGCCAAGTAAAAGCAATTACAGTTTGGAATCCCAGGAGGCAAGCAAATGATTTCGCTTATGAAAAGAACCGACTAGAGTTCCCTAAAGGTTAGGGAACGAGGGAGCCGCCTTGGAGGCTGAGAGACAGCCTTGGAGGCGGGCGGGGACAGCGGGCATGCCGCCGGAGAGTGGTCCACGGAAGCCACCACGCAGTGTCAGAGAAGAGGGGAGGAGCAAGAGCAAAGGCGCGCTCGCGCGTCCCTGCAGAGGACGAGCAGGCAATCGCGGAGGCTGCCAGGTGATGGGAGTCAGAGGAGGGGAGAAGCGTGCACCCCACCGGCAGCTGGCCGGGCGGCGGGCTCCTCCCGGCACACGAACTCTCCTTTCCCAGCCTTTCCCCTCCGGCTTCCCGCGCGTGCAGACTGCACCAAGACGCACACCGCGCTGGGGGCGCTCGCGGGCATGGGATGGGCGGGGTGCGGCAGGAACCAAAGAGCCCTGTGCCCCACACCGCGTAGGGCGTGCTGCACACCTGGCACCCGGGACTCACCATCTGTTCAGAGCTGCCTCCTCGGCCCTAGGGTGTGGCCTGGGGATAGATAAGAGTACTTTGTGGCAGCGACGACTCCTCATCAACTGCCACTTCAACTGCCAATCAGCGTCGTGAGTGCCCTACTATGTGTCTCCGCTCAGCTTCAGAGCTTCCCGCTGCAGGTCTCAGGCACCATATCATCTGTTCCGCTCCTCTGCAAGCTACAAGAGAATCCTGTATATGCTGTAAAATAAGTTCACACCGAACCGTAAGGCAGAGGCAAACTAGCCTTTGTAAAGAGGCAAATTTGGGGACCAAGAGGAGGGTGGTGTTTGTTGGAGGAACCTAGAATAGAAGTTCATGAATTTTTTTTTTTTTCTAACTAGTTCCTGAAGCATAAAACTCCACGCACGGGCTGTTTGTCCCCCGCTCACAGTGTACAGACAAAATGAAAAACAATTTCAAGTTGGGTGTGGTGGTTCACACCCTTAATTCTCAGCACTTGATTGAGGTAAGAGGATTGCCACTAGTTGAAGGCCAGCCTGGGCTCACAGAGTCAGACTGCGTCAAGTGAGTTACATAAGAAAGTTTATCTATCTTGTCAGGACAAATAACTGAAGGCTCATCCTTGCAACACTCCGTTTAACTAAATTTCACAAACATCATGTGAAATATCTCCTTGTTGTACAAGTGTTGAGTCACTTGTGTTTTGAGACAAATTCTATTGTAACCCAGGCTGGCCTTGAACTCTGTGTAGCTAGAATGACTTGAAACTCCTGATTCTTTTGCCTACAGCTCCTAAGTACTGGGATTACTGGCTTTGCACCACCATGCATTGTGTGATATAAATTTAAATGAAAGAAAAATTATGTGTAACATTACCTACTATACATGAATTTTTAAAAATCTGCATAATGCCCAATGTGCCATACATTACAATCTATGTAGTATATAATAAAACATACATTTCAAATATGCATAGTGCTAGGCACGATGGCTCTTGCTTGTAATCCCATTATCTGGGAGGCTAAAGCAAGGTGATCACTGAGTTGGAAGCCAGCCTGGGCTAAAAAGTGAATTTGAGACTAGATCCTATCTCAGAACAAAAAGCCTGGCCAACCAATCAACAAACCAAAACAGGGCCATCCAGATAGTTCAGTGGGTAAAATCATTTGCCACAACAAGGTTGATGACTTGAGTTTAATCCCCAGAGCCTCCATAAGAGAGCTAGATGCAGGCGGTTGTGATCTCTGCACTCCTAGGTAGGACAGGTTGTGATCTCTGCACTCCTAGGTAGGACAGGTTGTGATCTCTGCACTCCTAGGTAGGACAGGAGGCAGAGAAAGGAGACTCTCACCAGGTTGTGAGCTGCGGGGCCAGCCTAACCTGCAGTACTAAGCGCAGCAGGAAAAACAACAAAGACCCTTTGTGAGAGCTCACTCCCTAAAGTTGTCTTCTGACTTCCATGACCACTCCTATGGCACATGTGCCAACACATGTGCATGCACACACATGTGCACATGCACAGAATAAATGTATTTTTAAAAGATTTTTAAAAAAATGTACATGATGAGGTTATATTTTCCTGGAACACCCAAACTGTTCACATTTTCCAAAATTGTCCTGGGGGAGTTAGGTGCCAGGCAAGTGCCAACCACTGAGAATTCTGCTGATACTTGGCGTTCCCACATTGGCAGTGGATGTGCTCAAGTCTTAATAATCCAGGATCCTGGCAATGGGACCTAAGATGGACCTTTCCATCACTAACTCTGGATTCAGGTCACAAACTTCCTTTGGCCATTGACATGAGTTACTATAAGGAATTTGCTCATGATTACAGAGGCTGGTAAGTCCTTAGACATTGTAGACGTCAAACCCAAGAGGACCAACGGCATAATTCTAATAAAAAAGCAAGATAAAAACAGTTTCCAACCCAGAAGACAGTTGGACAAGGGAGCTTACCTCTTACAGATGCTGTGGGATGATCTGTATGTCAAATATGTTGCTCTGATTGGTCAATAAATAAAACACTGATTGGCCAGTAGCCAGGCAGGAAGTATAGGTGGGACTAACAGAGAGGAGAATGGAGAGAACAGGAAGGTGGAGGGAGACACTGCCAGTTGCCACCATGACATATGAAGATGCCAGTAAGCCACGAGCCACGTGGCAAGGTATAGATTTATAGAAATGGGTTAATTTAAGATATAAGAACAGTAGCAATAAGCCTGACATGGCCATACAGTTTGTAAATAATATAAGTGTCTATGTTTTTATTTTATAAGTGGGCTGTTGGACTGCCAGGGTTTGGCAGGACCCGGAGAGAAAACTCCAGCTACACTTTAAACCCAAGAGGACCAATGACATAATTCTAATAAAAAAGCAAGATAAAAACAGTGCCCAACCCAGAAGACAGTTGGACAAGGGAACTTACCTCTTATAGATATGGGAGAGGACCAATTATTTAATTCTATAAGCCCTTTCATCCACATTAGGGAAGGCATTCTGTCTTACTCAACCTATAGATTAAATATGAAAGTCAGTCCAAAATATGCTCATAGATACTTTCAGAATGTTCCAACAAATATTTGAATACCTAATGGCCCAGTCAAATTGATGAATAAAATTAACCATCCCAGTTACCAATAGTCCCAATCTTAGAGACATAGTTATACTCAAGGATGGCTTTTGTGTCCTGGCTGAATAAGTAGCTAGGCAGAGAAGATTTGGTGGATCTTCAGTCCCTCCTTCTTATGTTTTACCCCTTCAAACTCTTAAAACCCTTAAATAACATCAAAACTCAAATAATTAAATTTACCCCTTAGAGTAAAACATACGATATGTAATTAAAATGGGCATTAGCCAAGAAATTCTGTTGAGCTATTAAGCATTATAGCTGCTGGTGAAGTGCATGCATGCATGCGTGCGTGCGTGCGTGCGTGCGTGTGAAGTTGATATTGGTATCTAGCTAGCTAGCTTGTCCCATGGTTCTCCTAGGTCTTCCTGACAAGTGCTAGAATTATGGAATTACAGGCATGTCTGCCTGGACTTTTACATGGGTGCTAGGGATCCAGACTGGTCCTCACCCCTGTGGTCCTCACCCCTGTGGTCCTCACCCCTGTGGTCCTCATACCAGTGGTCCTCACACCCGTGGTCCTCACACTCACACACTATCTGCTTAGTCAAGTTCTTTATAGCTTTTCCTATATGTTCAAGTAGTTTTGAACATGCACACAAGGAATTAGGGGAGAGGGGAGGAGAAATTGCTTTGAGAAAGGATGGTTTGGGCACATTGCTTGGTTAAACAGTGTGGTGACGACACACCAGAAGGTTAATATGTGCAGCCCTCTTTCAGCATATTGCTTTAATTTCTCAGGCCTGGAAAGTCCCTGATGTTAATACACAAGATAGTATCACTAAGATTACTTAGAGCTTAAGGTATGTTATAGCTTAACTCAGGGTACAGCTTTCTTTTCCATGTATGTGCCTCAAGGGGAAATAGTGTGGGGGAAGAAGGCTTCCTCAGGAAGCTCCATTGAAGGCTGTTCCTCACTGACCTTCCTTTAGAGGTGAATTTATCACAGTCACGCTTGCCAGTTGTGTCTAATAGTCCAAACAGAAGTTCTTAGCTTCTCCAATTTGGAGCTTTAAAAATAGAACAGTGTGGTTGGGGATGGTGGCACTAGGCCTTTAGTCCTAACAGCACACAGGAAGCAGATGCAGGTGGATCTCTTGTGAGTGTGAGACTAGCCTGGATTACATAAAGAGTTCCAGGACAGCCAGGAAGATATAAAGATACTCTGCCTAAAAACAAAACAAACAAACAAACAAACAAACAAACAAAAAACCCAAATAAAAATAAAAACAATAATCAGAGCCAATGTCATGTTTGTGTTCATTAGCACTCCTTCCTGCATTTGCCTGGACAGGATGGGCAATGCTGAGCTACAGGCCTGTCCTGAGAGAGAAATGACCCAACACATTAAAGCTCTTCTTTTTTTTCTTAAAAGGTTTTGGAGTGTGTGTGTGTGTGTGTGTGTGTGTGTGTGTGTGTGTGTGTGTGTGTATACACATTTAAGTGTGTGTGGGTCTATGTGCATATGTGTGTATAAGTCCAAAGACAACTTCAGTCTTGTTCCTTCGATGCTTGTCAACCTTGTTTCTTGAGACAGGGTTTCTCACCATTCTGGAGTTTGCCAAGTAGACTCGAGTGGCTGGCTGCTGAGGGCCAGGGATCTGCCTCCCTAGTACTGGGATTCCAAACTCATACCATCACAACTGGTTTTTTAATGTGGGTTTTGAGGCTCATCTAAGGTCCTCATGTGTGTGTGGCAAGTGTTTTCTTTTCTTTTTCTTTTTTTTTTTTTTAACCAACTAAGCTATTTCCCCAGCCCCATTAAAGTTCTTTCTTACTGACTCTAAGTCTACAGCAGTTCCTCTGAGCGACTCCCTCCCTTGGTAGTGTCTCGGGCTGAATGGCTCTGTAGCTAAGCATGTGGCATGCTTTATTGCTGCCAGAGAGCAAGACTGGGGATAAGCCTGGGGCTGCCTGCATGTTGAAAAGCACCGGCTGTACCACTGAACTCCAGCCCTTCCTCCTTCCCTTCCTTCTCTCCTCCTCTTCCTCCTGGTCCTGCTTTCTCAGTTCTAGGGACTGAATGGAGGGCCACACGCCTGTGAAGCATGCTGCACTCTACCATTGAGCCGGAGCAGCAGTCCCTTTGCCACTCTAATGCTCTCCCAGAACTGACATTCCTCACTTGTCTTCATAGCCCATTGGATATAATTTGGTTCATGGCCTGGCCTAAAAGGCTTAGAGATATGGCTTGCCCTTCCATTTCAGGAAAAAAGAAAAGTGTGTATAAGTGAATAGTAGACATTTGTTCCACATTATGTAAATAGCCAACAAACTGCACCTATAAATTTATTTTGAGTAAATACTATTGCCCTTTTATCTGCAATGTTAAAATCAATTTTATATTCTGTCAGTAATTCTTTTTTTTTAAATTGGACTACTACTACTACTACTGGTTGTTTGTAAATCATTAGAGATGCAAACCTCCTGGTTATGAGTATGATGTTCTCCTAGCAGGAAGCTATCAGAAGTGGAAAAAAATGACACAACCAAAATCATTTTAAAAGTTATTAGTGATCTGCAGAAGTGGGTCTTAACAGGAGCTACTTCTGCTAAAACCCATTGACTTCTCAGTCAGGCCTTCAAGGGAATAAACATCATGAGATCCTGTACCCCACATAACCCAGCACATCCCACTTCCAAGCTGGAGGCACAGAGATATGTCATTGTCCTTACCCTTTCCTCTAGAGCAGTGGTTCTCGACCTTTCTAATGCTGTGACCCTTTAATACAGTTCCTCATGTTGTGGTGACCCCCAACCACATTTTCATTGCTATTTCATAGTAATTTTGCTACTGTGATGAATTGTAATGTAAATATCTGTGTTTCCTGATGTTTTTAGGTGACCTGTGAAAGGGTCATTCAATGCCCCAACAGGGT